AGTCTGAGTAACAACTTGTCTTTAAATGTTGATCTGCGGCTGATGAAAGATCTGGGAATTTCAATTTCTGCTCTTTCTGCCAGTAGCATATATTTATTCCATGCATCATTTAATTTGATTACATAGCCTTCGTCAGCAGCATATTCCAACTCTAATTCCAACTCTATTCCATGTATAATGGTGGTTCTGGATCAAGGCAGTTTCGTCCTTATTTCGCGTCTCGCTTTGTTCGCCGCGATTAGAACAAACCGCCTTGAGTCCAGAACCACCATTATACATGTGTGTAAGGTGGGTATGATTGCTGATCTAGAAAGCCACGGATCAAACAAATCTCGGCCTTATAAGTCGCTTCGCTTTGCGCGAGTGATTTTTGATCCAGAATTTTTTCCAATTGAACAAGCTGCCTGCCTTGGTATAAAGCGACCATGGCCGCATCAAGGTTTTCTTCTGATGTGTGCGACCACGAGGAACTCACTGAAGAAAGGTTTGACAAAGTAAACGAAGCCCTCGAAGAAATGTATACTCACTTGGAAAAGCTAGAAGATTCTAACAAACTTTTAAGAAGTTTTGCTGCCTTTGGGGCGGGCTTTTTGGCTGCAAGGATAGCAATTGCTGTGACAAGGCTAGCTGGACAAAGAAAAAAGCAATTGAAGCTTGACAAATCTTAGACATAACAGAATGGGCTGCGGAAGAAAAGGGCCAGTTGATCAAAGCCACAAGAAGCAAAGAATTTTCAAATCCCCCCAAAGAGAAAATGAAAAGCATTTGTGGGTGACTGGCTTAAGGACTATTGATGAAAAAGCGCCATTATTAGTCTTTACAGATGCGTTAATTGACGAGATGAAACGGATGAACCCACAAGAGGTCGCCAATATTCTCTTGTCAAAAGAAATATAAACAAGTAATATTTGCCCTGGGGCAATCAGCTGTTTATTTTTTTTGCTCTAGTGGAAGCTCTTTGTTTTACCGCGTTTCGTGCCCAATTTTTACTTGAAAAAAGGTGATAAGTGTTGTTTTCATCGACCAGGCAGAGAAGAAATGCCGTATTCTAACAAACTGTGGGCAAAAGAGAGAAATCTGCCTGTAAAATTCCTGATGGCTTCAACTGAAGCCAAGAGGAATGCAACCAGCTTTAACTAAAGCCATGAGGCATGGCTTCATGGTGGTCATGGCGAACGGCCCCTTTTTACTGAGCTCTGTGATTTTAAGCTTTTTAAATCCTTTTTTACAGAATCAATATTTCATATAGAGATCCAAATCTACACTTACCAGTGTCCGTAGTACAACTAAATACTTTACCTGATTGCTATTCTACTCGAAGTTACCTAAAAAATGCGTCACCAAACATCCCACCTTTTTTGGATGGCGGCCATATTGGTTTTCTATCACCACGGGTTTTGACAACGACAAAGAACTTTTTTGGTTCAAGAATCGCCAAATATACGTCTTCTTCATCGACAGTTACTTTCCAACTTTTGAAGGAGTCGTCTGTTCGCAGGATCTTGTTATCTGGTGATATCGAATTCAATCCTGGTCCCTCGTATAATCAAGAAGATTCAAGCTTATTTGACTAGCTGTCTTCCCTTAGAAGAAACAGGAACCGTACAGTCATTGTCGGTCACTCAAACGTTTGTGGGCTCCACTGCAACCTTAGCCAAGTTAAAATTCTTCTAAAATACTCACAACTTGATGTCCTTGCCATTACGGAAACTCACCTAAATGAATCTACTGACGACTTTGAGCTCTATATTGATGGCTATTGCTTTTGGAGGCAGGATAGAAGAGACAGGAAAGGTGGAGGTGTCACCTTCTATGTTAAACAGAACATTGATTGTGAGATAATCTCCAAATACGAAAGAGAAGACACCGAGGCTCTTTGGTTAGATGTAAAAGCCCGCTCACAAAGACTCCTTATTGGTTGTGTTTACAGACCCCCTGGTTATGACGGCTTTTTTGAAAAATTCAATTTAACTCTCAAACGTATTTGGAGGTCACGCAAAAACGTTATTATCACTGGCGACTTTAATGCAAATTTACTTTTAAACTCAGACACCTATGGGAGAAAGCTTCGTCAGATTCTGAACTGCTATGGTTACAGGAATATAATAAAGAAACCAACTCATACAACTGAAACTACAAACACTTTGTTGGACCTGATACTTGTTAGTGACCCCTCTAAAGTTAAAGATGCTGATGTTATGGATTTTGCAATTGCTGATCATAAGTTTATTTATGTCATGCATTATCTAGTTCCAAAGAAACAAAATCCTTTGATCCTGAAATCCCAAAGCTTCAAAAATACCAACTTAGTTTAACTCAAAAAAAGATATTGAGGACTTTCCTTGGTGGTGTTGCTCTACATTTGAAGATATAAATGATACAACCTGGGCTTGGGATCATTCTTTCAAGAACATTGTTAACTCTCATGCTCCCTTCTGCGAAATCAAGATCAAACAAAGTTCTTTACCATGGGTAAATAGAGATATCAGGAAGGAAATGAATTCAAGATTCAAGTTATTGAAATCCTACAAAGGCTCACAATGCTCAAGTCATCTTTGGAATAAATACAGAGAAGCAACAGGGTGACCTTATTTTTTAACCTCCTTCAAAAGGCTGAATCTGAGCATTGGAGAAATAGATTTAGCGAGTCCAGAAATTCAAAAGAATTTTGGAAGAGAGTGAAAGATTGTACTAATAAAGCAAAGAAATCTCCCTTAGTAAGAACTCTCAAAGATAACAATAGCAATATTGAAATATCAAATGACATAGATAAAGCAGATTTCATTAATTCCTATTTTACATCCATTGGGGAAGATCTGTCACAAAAACACTCCATCCGTGACGATTTTGAAATGTTGAATCATATCTATTTAATACCTCCTACCATTCAATCTATGGAGATAAACATCAGCCAAGTTGTTAAAGACCTTGAGAATGTAAAAGCCAAGGCCTCTGGACCAGATGGCATTTCATCACGAGCCTTATCCTTGATAAAATCTTCTGGTGCTGATGGTTTATTTACTGTATTTCATAGAAGTTCGTGTTTGAACCAATTTCCTGATATATGGAAACAAGCAAAAATTACTCCAGTTCACAAGAAAGGTTCCTTCTCTGAAGTCTCAAACTACAGACCAATCTCTCTACTCAGCATTCCTGGAAAGCTTCTTGAAAATCAAATTTGTTCTATTATTGACACTCATTTACAAGACTGTGGACTTTTAAGTGAGCATCAATGGGGTTTTAGAAAAGGACTTTCTTCAGAGGATTTGCTTGTTACCATGACAGAAAAGTGGAAACTAGCTATGGATAAAGGTTTAACTGTTGGAGCTATCTTTATTGACTTCCAGAAAGCATTTGACACTGTGTCACATGAAATTCTATCCTTAAAGCTAAATGCAGTTGGTATCTCTGGCCCATTACCCCTGTGGATAATGAACTATTTGAGTAATAGATATCAATATACTGAAGTAAACAACCAAAGATTTGCTCTTCTCCCTATTAAATTTGGTGTCCCTCAAGGTCCTTACTTGGCCCAAGACTGTTCACTATCTACTCCAATGACCTCCCCGATCATGTAAAAGATGGCTCCATCTTGATGTATGCTGATGACACCACAATTTATACAATTGGCTCAAGTGTTGACCAAGTCATCTTATCTCTAAATGGCCTTATGGCACAGATATCTATGTGGAGCACTTTAAATAAATTGACAATCCATCCTGTAAAAACTGAAGCTATGATTTTAAAAAAACAACAGTTTTTTGGTCCTTTGCAGCCATTACATTTTGGCTCTGGCTTGGTGAAATTTGTTAATTCTACTACTTGCCTAGGTGTTATGATTGATAAAAATCTTTCTTGGCATGCCCACGTAGATATAGTTGAGATCTCTTTTTCCAAAAAAGTTGGTGCTTTAAGAAGAATGTTGTATTTACCCAAGTCAGTTCTAGTAGAAATATACTTTAAAACAATTATACCTACTGTGACCTACGCATTATCAATATGGGGAAATTGTTCCCAATCATTACTTAAGGAATTAGATCATATTCATGCTTGAGCATGCCGAATTATTAATCATCTTCCTTCTTCATTAGAAGGTAGTTTATGCCTATATCAATGTAGGTGGCTTCCTATTAACTATTTATATAAGAGACGCATATTACTTAAGATGCATCAAGTCTTCACAGGGTCTGCTCCTAGACAAATTTTGGATTGATTTTCTAAATCAACAAGATCTACAAGACTCAGTAACCAATTTAATATTATTAGGGTGAAAACAGAATTAGGAAGACGTTCCTTAAAATACAGGGGACCAACTATTTGGAATTTTCTGAATAGAATAGTCAAATTTTCTAATATTAGTAAAGAAGGCTTTAAACCAATTTTAAGAAAATGTTCTAAAGACATCCTCCAATTTTCTTTTAATAAAGAAGCCATTTTGATTTAAAACAAGACAGATGATTTTATTTATTATTAAGTTAATAAGGTATTTTAATTCTAATTATTGTTTTGTTTTTATCTTAGTTATTTTACTATTATAAGCAGGTCCACATCAGCCTTTTGGCTGCCAATTCAATATTGTTCATTCAATCTTGTAATTATAAACCTGCTCTAACAAATAAAGGATTGATTGATTGATTGATTGAATGCGCAACCGGAAGCCTTAAACAAACGTAAGGGCGTCAGCAACCTCTCGTGTGATATCACGCATGTTTCTCTGCCACTCAGGCGTGAAATAATCATTCACGAGAAACGCAATCAAGTGGAAACTGACAATCACGTTTTTATAATATGTAAATGAAACCATGTGTTTTCAAATGTCAATTCCAAGCAGCGGGGTCAGTTATTTTTTTATCAATTCGGCTTCAACTTTGCCGCAGATATCTTTCTCCAGTTTGTCAACATCAACAATCTTTGTGCTCGATAGTTGGCGAAGCAGCTTGACTCAGACTTGTTCCTTCAGGAAGTTGTTCTGCTGGAANGGATTCGAATAAATCGAAGGCCTGGACACCTCATAAAAAATTATCATAAAATTAATTATACATTCATTTTTGCATTGCACCTCAGTTCAGTGTGACATGTGGTCACGGACCTGCTCGGCTTCACTTCTTCAAGCAGGAATTTAACTGCGTTTCTGCCTGACAAATGACTTTCTAATGACTAGCAAGTTATTTCCAAGTCACAAGAACGCCCGGCCTCAGTTGAAGAAACAGAACATGGCCAAATTTAAGACGTTTAGCAGATTCAGCAGATCAGAGATATCTTCACTTGAGGTAAGGTGAAGAACCGTTGCTGAACAGCGCTATTTCTTTCTCGAAGGTGCGAAAATGTTGTTGAAACAACTCCGGAGACGAATTTTATGCACGAAATTTTATTACTTTTTCTGCTCTATTTCATACAGAGTTTACTGCGGATACTTTACACGCCACGCTCAACACGCTGATAAGGTTACCGTAGACTTTAAATTCTATCCAAAGTTTGCGAAATTGCTTAAAAACAATGTTTAATAATTTTGCTATAAATTGTTTCGTGTTCTAGCGCTTTAAACGAATGTTAGGATTTTAGCGCTACCTTGGACTAATGGATTCTTCACCGTTAAATTTCTAAAGTGTTTGCTTTCAACCACTTTAGACTCTTTAAAGAACAGTATTTGGTCTATAAATTTGGAGGTGGGAAAGTTTTATAACTTATAGTAACATCTTTGTCACTAAACCCGATTTTTCGTTTTTGTTTTAGATTACGGATGCCTTGTGTTCAACCATTGCGCAGCTAAAAAAGTCCTCGAGCTTGCTTGAGGACCTCTGTGTGAAGTAAGGCTCCTTAAATTATATTGTTTTCGTCGATAAATGGTTCTTTTTGAAAAATTTGGTGACAAGGCATTCATGTTTGTTTTTTATATCTACAGATAGACGCTGAGACTTGGGATAGCAAGTGGACAAGAAAAAAACCCAATCTTTATGTAAGTGCTGGTGACTGGGAATTTTGTTGTTTTCGCTGTCTCAAGTTTTTGCAAGTTTAAAATTCTAACTCTAACAAGCCATTATTTTTAATATTGGGAAAAATATTATCCAGTTTTAAAGCTTGATGTTGAAGTTTTTAGCTTGAAACTAGCAAAGCTAGCACATTATGCAGCGCATTTTGGTCATGCTGAATTGTTATCGATGGAATAATGGTGTTTTTATATTACAGGAGAGCTGGAATGTGGAGTAAGATTCACAGAAACAAACACAAGGTTAGGAGGAAACCAAACGAACGCAGGAAAATGTAAGTTGACTTCACGTTGTGTAGTTGTAATTGGGGATGAACTATCAAATGTTTTACGAAGGAAATTGCCAAAAATAATCCTGCACAACATAGCTAGAGAAAGAAAAAATCGTACAACGCGAGCCAAGAAAGAATCTCTTACTCAGGAAAAATTTCCCTCTCCACCCCTTTCAAAAACGTATAATTATTATCCAAATGGTCTTGTTAGCAGCAGGCTACTAATAAATTTAAAAGGCCGGACAACGCTTTTCAGTTTGTAATACATGTTCGACATTAACGTCTGTCATCGCAAGTTACAACTGGAGTGAATTTGAATATACAAGTTGATATACAAGTTTTGTACCATAGGTGTTACCTAGAATAACTTACATCACACAAATAAAATACGTGGATTTTAAAACAAAAGAACAACAGGCAAACGCAGAAAAAACGTGCTGAAATGTTAATTAAAATGCAACAAATTAAATTAACATGACGAATTTGCTGATTTAAAGAGGTGGTTAACATAAAAACACGCCATTTTTTCAGACTTTTTCATGGTTAAGATTTAATTCCAAACCGTGACAAAGTACACAATTTAAGAAAGCTTAAAGACCAAAGATTATGAAAAAAATATTTTTGTACTTAGAAAAACAAATCCTGAAAATTTTAGCTCATTGGACAAATCCTTCTCAAAATATTTTTTTTGAAAGGCAAACTGATAATTCGTTTTGAGAAAAGGAGCTTTAAACTTACAGCAACAGAAATGCTTATCAAAAGTTAGACTTCAGTACCTTAAAATTCCAATTTCGTTAAAAATAAAAGTTCGATTTTTTCTTACAGAATTTTAGCTTAACCCCTGGCTTGAAACAGTATATTCACCACGTCAAATTATGTCAAATTTATCGTGTTCATCATATCAATTTGCAGGATTACAGGGAGGAAAACTGAAACTGGGAATGGAAAAACGGGGAGCAAGCAATGGAATTGGGCAAAACGTAAGTACCTCCTTTATTTGTTTTATTGAGGGCGTTGAAATCAATCTGCACTAAAGGATTAAAACATTTTGATAGATTTTGTCATGTCCTGCAAAACAACAAATTAATATGATCAAATTGCGTATTTATGGCAAATGGAAAATCCCACGGTTACTTTTCCACGCCAAAAGTCAAACTCAATTGCCTAGATATGCAAAAACGAAAAGATGTAGTGACCTAAAGGTTTGTCTCTCGAACGGATCTTTGCATTTTTGGCGAAATGTTGGTGTAAAAAAATTCGAACTGAAAAAAAAATTGAAATTGGAAAAAAATGTGTTGTTTCAACAACGTAACAACCGATTGTGTGATCAACCATCAATCAAGCTCTTGTTGCTGTAGTGTAGTCAATTAAATTTAAGAATTGTTTTCCTTGATCGAGATTTGAAGTTAAAAGAATGTGAACGTTTTCAACTTAAAATGTAACCATTTTGAATCGCAAGGAACTTTTTAATCTACATATGACACTTTTTCAACCTGGAGGTTTCGGAAACTTCATGACTTTAAATTCCAAAGCAAACGTTTTCAACTTCAACAGAGACTTTTATTTGCAACTTAAATTCAAGGTTGTAAACCCTGTCTGGGATTAATGAGAACGTGTCTAAGTAAAAAGGGAGCGCTAGCTTTTTCAATTGACAATGGAATTTTATTCAATTCAAAAGATAACTTTCCCAAGTAAAGCAAGAACCTATTCGAACGCATCAACTCAAAAACAAACAATTGCACACTACTAATCTCTGAATTTACAGTATATGTTGATATGATAGACGTGTTTAGCTTAAATTGGACGTATTATACAAATAATAAAGATCTTTCATCACAATATAAATTAAAATAGTTTTAAACCAAAATTTAAATATTTACATAAAAGAGTGGAAGTTTAATTTGCAACTGGACATGGAACTATTTTAATTAAAATGGAAGTCCTTTAACTCAAAATGGTATTTTAATTAAACGTATTGTTGTACTAGTCTGACTAAGCAACCTTTTCAAGGAAGAGTAGGGCCTTGCCAAATAGAAAGCGAGTAACACTTTCAAATAATCATGGAACTCTTCCAATTAAATTGGAAGTTCTATAACGCCAAATAAAACTTTTCCAAGTAAAAATAATTTTTCAACTCAGAAGAGATCCTTTGTAAGTACGCGTAGGATTCTTTCACCTTTCAAAATGAAATTGCCCCAACCTAAAACACTTTTTGCAACTTAAATGAGATCATTTTGAACTGAACATGGACCTTTTTACTTCAAAATGAAACTTTTCCGATAAAAAGACCTTTTTCTCAACTCAAACGACATCCTTTTAAGCAAGCATGGAACTTTTTCAGTTGACAGCTAAACTTTTCACGTAAAAATGCTTGTTCCACTCAGAAGAGATCCGTTGTAAGTAAGCATAAATTAAAATTCTTTCACCTGAAAATGAAACTGCCCCAAGCTAAAACACCTTTTCAACTTAAAGGAGATCGTTTTGAACTGAACACGGACCTTTTTAGCTCAAAATGAAACTTTTCCAAAACAATTACCTTTTTCTCAACGCAAAAGACATTATTTTAACTAAGCATGGAATCTTTTTCAACTGACGATTAAACTATTGTAAGCAAAACTTCTTTTTTGAACTCAAAGAAAGTCATTTTTAAGTGAACATGGAACTCTTTCAGTTAAAAACGTAACTTTTCCAATGAAAAGTTTTTGCAACTCAAAGGAGATACTTTTAAACTGAAAATGGACCATTTTAGGTCAAAATGAAACTTTTCCCCAAGAAAATTAACTTAGGGACTAGTTAAAAAGTATTGAGAGGGGTAGGTAGGAGCAGAGAGGGAGTAGGTTATCAGTTTTAGAGCTCTCGGTAAGGAGTGGGTCGTCTAATTTTTAAATTGTCAGCTACCCATGGGGGTGGGTCATCCTGTTTTATAACTGGAACTGGCACACATTTGACACAATCGATAACAGATGCAACTCCTTCCAGTTCCTAAGGACGAAAATATTTCGAGCCGTGGCTGAAAAAGTACACTTACCTGGTGTACAGTAGTCTCTCTTGGCATGCCCATGTAGATATAATTAAGATATCTTTTTCCAAAAAAGTCGGTGCTTTAAGAATGTTGTATTTACCCAAGTCATTTCTAGTAGAAATATACTTTAAAACAATTATACCTAGTGTGACCTACGGATTATCAATATGGGGAAATTGTTCCCAATCATTACTTAACCAATTAGATCATATTCATGCCCGAGCATGCCGAATTATTAATCATCTTCCTTCTTCATTAGAAGGTAGTTTATGCCTGTATCAATGTAGGTGGCTTCCTATTAACTATTTATATAAGAGACGCATATTACTTAAGATGCATCAAGTCTTCACAGGGTCTGCTCCTAGACAAATTTTGGATTGATTTTCTAAATCAACAAGATCTACAAGACTCAGTAACCAATTTAATATTATTAGGGTGAAAACAGAATTAGGAAGACGTTCCTTAAAATACAGGGGACCAACTATTTGGAATTTTCTGAATAGAATAGTCAAATTTTCTAATATTAGTAAAGAAGGCTTTAAACCAATTTTAAGAAAATGTTCTAAAGACATCCTCCAATTTTCTTTTAATAAAGAAGCCATTTTGATTTAAAACAAGACAGATGATTTTATTTATTATTAAGTTAATAAGGTATTTTAATTCTAATTATTGTTTTGTTTTTATCTTAGTTATTTTACTATTATAAGCAGGTCCACATCAGCCTTTTGGCTGCCAATTCAATATTGTTCATTCAATCTTGTAATTATAAACCTGCTCTAACAAATAAAGGATTGATTGATTGATTGATTGAATGCGCAACCGGAAGCCTTAAACAAACGTAAGGGCGTCAGCAACCTCTCGTGTGATATCACGCATGTTTCTCTGCCACTCAGGCGTGAAATAATCATTCACGAGAAACGCAATCAAGTGGAAACTGACAATCACGTTTTTATAATATGTAAATGAAACCATGTGTTTTCAAATGTCAATTCCAAGCAGCGGGGTCAGTTATTTTTTTATCAATTCGGCTTCAACTTTGCCGCAGATATCTTTCTCCAGTTTGTCAACATCAACAATCTTTGTGCTCGATAGTTGGCGAAGCAGCTTGACTCAGACTTGTTCCTTCAGGAAGTTGTTCTGCTGGAACTCGGAAAGAATGATATCAAACTCGTGGGCAGCCACGCATTGTTATTCAAAGCTTTGGATAACAGCCTGCTGATTGTGTCATGATTGGCAACAGCGAGGGTGGTAATCTCTTGATGCTTTTTAATTTTCGCCTCAAGTTTTCTGCTGGCGATTATAAGCCCTGAAGAAACGAGAGCGAAACAGCCGCCAACGCTGCCTAATAGAACTGTGGCCGGCAGGCCAACCACAGACAGAGCTGAACCAAGGCTCATGCTTGAAAACGCTGCTCAGAGAACACTTGAGCCCGCAGCACTCCAATTAACGAATTTTTTGCCTGTTTGTATTTGTTCACGAGGCGAAAGTGGCCGACCTCTTGGCCCAAAAATTTGGCCATCTCGTCGATCATTTGCAAACGGAAATTTTCAGTGGGGGCCGTCAGTATGGGATAGAGAGGCTCCTCAGGAGGAGCGGATTGCAGAACATTTGCAGATGACATGGTATACAAAGCGTTAATTAATTTCTAATTCAAATTCCAGAGGCAAGCCTTTGAAATCAAAGAGCTCACCATGTTCATCTTGGACGCTGACAGTTATGCTATTTACATGAGCGTCTGTGGAGCAGTCACACAACACCTGTTGCGGGAAAGAATGGTAGCTTACTTTGGCATAGGGCAAGCCTTTTATATCAAATCTAGCCAAAACATCTGATCTCTTCCCGTTTAAAATGTTTTTAGTTTTGTCAAGCAGATCGCAATGAATGAAATAGGTGCTTGGGCTGTTTCGTTTTTTGACATAAGAAATATCGCTTAATGTCAACCCGGTGCCAAGCAACCTTGCTAAAGCATTACTAACTGAAATTTATTGTTTTTTTGTTACCTCTTGATCCCTTCTTGTTGTTTTTAGAACAGAGTGAGGTTTATTCGTTTCTACTGCAATTTTTGCCTTGTTTTTATAATTTTTGAAACTTTCTGTTAGCTCTTTTGCAAGGCTCTCAACAGTATAATGCGCCTGAGGAAAAGAGGCAAGCACAGCACTAGACTCTGAAATATATTTGCCCCACTCTTTCAAGATTGTGCCAGCTATTGTAGAAACTGCAAAAGTACACAGTTTCTCCATTATTTTTTGCAACAATCGTAAGCACCACCATTATATTGTACAAATATAACATATTCAAACTGGCTAGTGCCGCATTCAAGGATTTTCAGGATTATCAAAAATGGGTGCAAAGGCCTGATATGAAAGGCAAAGAAGCCATGGCCCAGACAAACGCGCGGGTCGCATTCACAAAACAGTTCCCGAATGCTGATTAAAACCAATTGGTGGCACAAATCAATATTGATGAAAAGCGGAATGTGTCAGCAGAAATGTTCTTTAAGGCAGGAAAGAGTGTTTGGTTCAGACAGGTGGTACTGGAGTCAACAAATGAACACTGCTCTTGGTGTGGCGGGCATGGCAGGATTTCCATATCAATTGTCACCAATGAAAACTAAGAAAGCGCTGCCAATCCCAGCCGTAGATTTCACAAAAGTGGCGCCAAGCCTGAAAAAAATCTTCAACCAAACCATGAATATCTACATGACCCCAGATGCCTTCTTCGTGACAAAATTCAGAGAAATCTTTCAACAAACCAACCTCAGGCACAGCACAGCAGCCAAATCCAAGAAGTGGCTAGGTGGACCTGACATGAACTATTGGCCCCAATAGCTCAACTTTGCTGTGTTTTGTGCGACACAAGACTGCGGGATTTCTCGAGAAGTCTTTGATGGCTCAAACCTGGCACTGCTGCCCCAAATAAGAGCATTTTATAAATTCCACGTGTATTTCATGGTCTGGCGCATTTTGTACCAGCTTGGTGGAATTCAGAGCATCAGCGCTTTGCCAGGGGATCCAACATTCAACAAATCAGACAACCATTATGACGAGGCTTCATACACAAGAATCTGCGACGAGTTTGGCATAAACCCCTTGAGCAATTTCTGCTTCACACAGGGGGCCAACCATGGGCTGGGAAGCATATACTTTTGTGTCAGGCCGGCCAATGAAAACAAAAAACCCATAAATTCAGTAATGAAGGTGGGAAAGCCATCAAAGGAAACCTGATTTATTACATTGAGCCGGAGGATGTGCCCCAGTACGACTGGTTTGCACCAAACACAGCTCTAGGGCTGACACAGGCAGGTCTGGCATGCATAAACCAGTCAATCGAAGCGTTCGTTTACTGCATCTTGGGCGTGCAGGTGAATGTGCGCAGCAGTATTCTTGGCCAAGGTTGCAGGGCGAAAGAAGCCCAGAGCGAGTTTCTGCTGCTGAAGGAAGACGCAATCAGACAGCCTGACCTGGCCCAGAACGTGCAAAGGTACCAGCTGGCAATGGAGAAGCGAAAGT